CTAGCTGAGCGAAATATTACCTACCTTCTCCAATGACCATGGTCTCCAATGGATGGTTTCCAGGATGAACTTAAAGTTTATTAATGTGCTTTTTGTGTTGGTTTTAAATTGAAGCCCATGTTCTACATATAGCTGAGTAAGTTCAGAGTATAAGTGCCTACCTCTTATTCTAGCTTCTAGATCTTACAGTTCTTTTTTTTATTTTTAAATTTATTTATTTAGTATACAATATATGCCTTCAGGCCAGAAGAGGGCACCTGACCTCATTATAGATGGTTGTGAGCCACCATGTGGTTGCTGGGAATTGAACTCAGGACCTTTGGAATAGCAGGCAATGCTCTTCTTAACCACTGAGCCATCTCTCCAGCCCCAGGATCTTACAGTTCTGTTAGTGGACTCTGAGACCAGATTAGCTTATTTGGGGCAACCTCATTGTCTTTGAGTATTTTTATAATTTTCTATCCAGCTGACTTTTTTGTCCATTCTAAGACATTCCCAAACAGAGGTTCTGTGGCATTTTATATAGCTTTATATCTGTTATAAGAAAGAAAAAATGAAAGAGGTATTCTCATTCCTTTTTTGCAATCCCTTCCAGTTTGTGTTACGTATGTTTCCATCAGTTCTGTTCTTTTAGAGAACTCTAATACAGACCCTACCTCATAGTAAGGTTTAAGTTGATCAAGGAACACATACAGTGTGGGTCTCTGGACTCTACACATCCACACACTTCCAGGAACACAAACATCAATCCCCACGTATATATCAAGCCCACAAGATTAATAAACCTGTCTCCTTTTCTAGAGGCTGCTTATATTTAAACCAACCAGCTGAAGGACTGAAGTCTAATGAACCTCAGAAGAGGGGGGTTATAAAACCCAATAGCTCAGTATGTTAGCTCTGCTCACCTCCAGCCAAACAATCATTGCAAACATTATACAATATTATACAATATACACAGATAGTTTACCATGCAGCATCACCATGGCAAAGCAGAAGGCTTTAGAAGACTGAGGCCACACACAAGCCTGTTCCAAGGAAACCTGACACTGGAAATAGCCCGGGAATTCTGCCGCCCTGGCAGTGACATGCCATCCAGCAGTCTGGAGCAAGAAAACTTATTTCGGGAACAAGCATGCCTTTCAGGAGAGTGTAGTGAGCCTGACCTTAAACTAGGGGCCTTGAGGATTATGCTCCTATTTTCATTGCTCAGGTTTGAGACGCGGTGCATAGCCTTCCTTAACTGGTCTTTGGTTGCTCCGTGCTCTTTGCCGACAGCTGTGACGTCGAGCACAAAGGAACGATAGCTAGGTATTTTAATTCACCTGGGTTGCTGCGCTGTTGATATTCAGTTTCCAGCTCAGTCTTCACATCTCTGGTTCCAAGTGATAGAAAATTGTCACAGCGAGTCCTCCCGACAAAGAGGTCCTGGGTGCTAGGTGGCACTGAGGACCTGAATACAAGTTTCTTTTCAAGGCTTTATATGATTTCCCAGGTCATCCCATTATAGCTCCTCCTTCCCCCTCCTCCTCCTTGCTACTACCTCCACTTCTTCCTCCTCCTCCCTATTACCTCTACTTCTTCCTCTTCCTCCTCCTGCTTCTTCTGAGTGTAGACAGATTGAGTCTTGAGTGCTGACCTCATAACCCTTCTACCTCACTTCCTGAGTGCTGGAATAATAGGTGTGTACGCCAGGCTATTCATGACTCTTTTCCTTTCTTTTCTCCAATCTCACTGACAATTGGGGAAGTAGACTTCGGGCTAATAAAGGTAGTCAGGTGTGGTGATGCACACCCATAACCCCAGCACTTGGGAGTCAGAGTCAGGAGGATCAGAAGTTCAAGGTCTGCCTGGGCTACCTTGACCTTGTCTCAAATATTCCCTGACCTTGTCTCAAACAAACAAAAAGAATGTAGTCTATCATTGTGGAATAATCCTTCTGTACACTTAGAAAATGTGTTGCTCTCGTTGTTAATAAAAAAAAAACGGATTGACCAATAGCTAGCTAGGCAGTATTTTCAGGGCAGAGAGAATGCTGGGAAGAAGGGTGGAGTCTGAGGAGTCTGAGCAAACACAGAAACAAGACAAATGAACTGCGTTGAAAGAAGGTACAACCACGTGGCAGAGGATAGTTGAGAAGTATAGGTTAGGTTAAAATGTAAGAGTTAACTAGTAATAGGCCTGAGCTATCAGCCAAGCATTTATAAATAATGGTTATTTGGGAGCAGCTGCCAAGACACAGAGAAACTCCGCCGACAGTCGGTATTTATCATTAGAGAGTATTTCCATTGCTGTATAAGGGTTAGCATTCTAGCCCTGCCTTGTTAGCACCTAAAGAGGTCCAAGAGAGAATCCACCCGAGAGTAAATCTCTGACCATTATTTTCCAGAGAGAAAGTTCTTGAAGCAGCTGAGCTTGGCTCCCCAGGCCCCCTCAACCCTCCCTCCCCCCCCCACTGCCCCATAATGAGAAATGTGACAGTGCACCAAGTAGGGCACGCAGGGGTGGGGTTAGGGGGGTAGGACATAGGCTAAGGTCCAGTGAGCCTCAGTGAGCCAGCACCTCTTGGAAGAAGGACTGAAGGAAGGAGAAGCCTAGTACCACATACTTGTTTTGGATCCGTGAAGAAAATATACAGCATCCATTGCAAGTCTAGCTTTGCTGGGGAAAACCAAGACACATTATGAATTCACATTCAAGTCCTGCACTGGAAGAGCGGGAGGAGTCCCGCAACTGCCAGCTGGTGAGCTGTCTCACTCCAGGGGACCTGGGCTGTGCAGCAGGAATCGTCCAGACGGCAGCTGACTCCCCAGACAGTGTACACAGTGTCTTCCTACCACAGTGACTCCACAGAGGTCAGAGCCACCCTGTGTAGGGCCTCTTGTTTGGCACCCTTTCTGCCCAATTCAAACACCAGTGCTGGCAAAAGTTCACAAGTGTGTCTTCACCTCCTGCCTGCCTCTGCTCAAACTCTTTGGGGGTCAACTATTTCCTGAAATCCCCTCCTCAAATTGAATAAAATTTCTGACATATTCTCTCTGCTACTTTTGGTAACTTAAACAAATGTATCACTTGCTCGCTCTCTCTCTCTCTCTATCTCTCTCTCTCTCTCTCTCTCTCTCTCCCTCTCTTTCTCAACAGAGTCTTGCTCTGTAGTCCAGGCTGGCCTAAAACTCAAGTCAATCCTTCTACCTCAGTTTTCTAAGTGTTGGAACTGTAAATAAGCATAAGCCACCAAGTTTGGCTGAACAAAATATTTTCCCAGTAAAACACACAAATACTTATTTGAAAAAATATTAATATCTTCAAATGCTCTCTGGCTCACGAAGGATTCTTTATGGAACACTGGTCATTCCTAGTATTGAGGACTCAGTGTTTTATCTATGGATCTAGAAAAAGAGTAACTAGAAATGTTTGAATAGACTGTTGTACCCAAAAGCTACAAACCCTCCTTTTTTCTTTCCCTTTCTTTCTTTCTTTCTTTCTTTCTTTCTTTCTTTCTTTCTTTCTTTCTTTCTTTCTTTCTTTCTTTCTTTCTTTCTTTCTTTTAAAGCCTGGTCAGGATCCAGCATGGAAAAGTTCTAGGCTCTAAATAGACTCCGTCAGGAAGTTTTGGGTGATGGCGAAGATGGTGTAAAGATGGGGTGTTGTCCTAACTTGAGCTTGATGAACATTTTCCAATGAAGATTAGAGCGCTCACTGAGCTCGAAGGATTTTTATTAAATTATGAAACAGTTGGCACCCACGCCCTCTTGGATGGGAGTCTAATCCAAGCTTGTTGACTGAAGGAATGAGTTTGGGGAACTCACCAACTGCCTGAGCCTCTTTGTGGGGGTAACTGATAGTCGACAGGCTGATGGAGCATTCGGGGTGTAGCTCATAGCTGTCTGCAGGCTGAAGTTTCCACTGCATTGCTCTATTATGTAGACCCAAGGCTTTCATGTGGACATTAATCACTCTCAGGTTCATCTAGGGTTACCCTTGAACTGGAAGGAACCACTCAACTTCTCTGATTTACAAGTGTTTGGAAAAACAACGCCAAGGATCCTTATACTTTGGGGTGAGAAGATCTATTTTGGGGAACTTTTTAAGGACAAAGTGAGTCAGGCCTAAACTTGATATGTGTAAACCGGCCTTGAGAGCATACCACACCGCCTCTCATTCATACTTCTTTCAAGTTACTCACTCTGCTTCTGCACGGTGACTCACACACAGACAACAGAGAGATGCTTTTTTGAACCTCAATTTCAAAAGAGCCACGTTTTGAAAAGTTCTTAATCAGATCCATCAAATTCCTTTCCTATTCTGAGTTTTCCAAATTGTCCTTTTGCCTGGTTCTACTGGTCTCTGAGTCAACATGGAACTCTTGTTAATATCTCATTGAAATATGGCATTATTTTATTTCCTACATAAAAGCCTATTTGCTTTGGACAAAAAGGGGATGTTAAAAAGAGATTTTTCTGCCAGCTCTGCAGAAGGGAAATCTTTGTTCTTGTCTTAAAAAAAATAGATCAAGTCCCATTAGTTGGACATCTTTATTTTAAAGATTTATTTATTTATTATGTAGACCGTGTTCTGGCATGTATGCCCACACATCAGAAGAGGGTACCAAATCTTGTTGGTTGTAGATGGTTTTGAGCCACCACATGGTTGCTGGGGATTGAACTCAGGATCAGTGCTCTTAACCTCTGAGCCACTCTTCAGCCCCTTTAAATCTTAAAAAAAAAAAAAAAGATAAAAGGTTGATGTTATCTATAAAGAGCCTTCTCCACCGTGTACACAGTCCCTAAGAATCTCAATTAGTTGATCATCAGAAGAGAAAAGGGGTCTGTGTGACTCTCTGTCTGTCTTAGGTTTTTCTTTACAGTTCAAGAATTCTGTGTTCAAATCTTTCTCAACTAAAGGAGACGCTGTAGGTACAATGAAGGGGAAAGTCAGAGAGATGAAACAGCTGGCGTATGTTAGCCGGCTTGGCAAGCACCAAAATTACCTGGCATCCCAAAGCATTGTGACATGTGTGGCAATTCCTGAGGGCATAATCATTCCTTCTGGGAAAGGAGCCACCACAGAAGCACAGTCGTGCCCTCGTCCCCAACAAAGGGTATCTGTTTAGCATGCCGAAGAAAAAGAAGTCAAATCGAATCCAAATCCAAAGAGTCTGAGAAAGGCTGTCATCTTCCAATGATATTTAAAAAATCTAGTTCTTCTATAATCCACTCCTGGCCCCGATCCAGTCACTGCGTGACCCTGGGGGAAACTCTTTTGAAGTTTTCCCTATCTGTAAAACTTGGATAATAATACTGTCTCTCCCAGATGACTGGGATTGTGTGAATTAATTATTTCAAGCTGGAAAGGTCTTTGATAATGCTAAGCATTGGATATTATTGTTACAAGTGCAGGTGGAAGAAATGTTACACAGCACATCTATAATTAGAAAGACCTAGAAACGTCAACTGGTGCCAATACCCCAGGAGTCAAGTTTGGGAGACAATACTCTGTGTCATTTTCTCCCTGAGACTCAGTCAGCTTGTTGTCATGACTGAATACTTAATTTCCTCTTTTATCTTCCTTGAAAGGTTGAAGCTTGTCTTGGACTTGCCTATCGTGGAGTGATTTTCACTGGGTGGATGTGCTTTTCAAGCCAGAGTTTGAAACACAGAGCCAGCATGCGGCAGAACACAGGGTGCATGCAGCCTTAGGTTTGCAATGTCGGTTAGCTGATTGGAGTCAAGAGAGTAAGAACGTCCAGGGCTTGATGCTTGACATCTCAGAAATGCAGATGCGTTCTTGATTTATAAGATAGAGTAGATAATGGCTTCTTTTGGAGACAAAGATCTTTTGTTTTTCCCTCAGACAAAACACAAAAGGGTCAGATGAAACCAAAGCACATAAAAGAGACAAAACCAGAGCTGTGATGAATGAGAGGGAAAGGGAGATTTTCTGATCCCTGTAAGGACCCTGATGCACGTGTCAGGTCCAAAGGCTCCTTGACCACTGTGCCAGATAATCTCCAAACCACATCTCATCATCAAACAGTTGTATGTTCTGGATGCCAGTGACATTAAAGACCTAGGCTGCAGGGCTCTTTTCAATAGTTTCAGAGACTCGGTTTCGTTTTATCTGCTCTCTTCCAGTCCATCTTCTGACATTTCAAGTCATGGTGAGGGCCACATAGCACATTAGTTCATTATAACCTGTGTCCTCATCTTCTCCATGACTGTCACCATCATCACATCAGTGTTTCTGGAGCACCTACCATGTGCAAGCCAAGTCTGGTTGTCGCTGATGCCTCAGAATGCTATTATGGGGGAAAAAAATCTCATCCATGTTTTCTATCTTTCTTTTTAATGATTTTTATTATTTTCTGTGCATTGGTATTTTGCCTGTGTGTATGTCTGTGTGAGGAAGTCAGACCTCTGAAACTGTAGTTATAGATTCTTGTTTAGACAGTATATAGACAGTTTATAACTATGTGGGTGCTGGCGTTTGAACCCAGGTCCTCTGGAATAGCAGCCAGTGCTCTTAACCATTGAGCCATCTCTCCAGTCCCCTCATTCATATTTTCAAATGGAAAACATTTGTTAGAGACATGTAAAAAAAATTTGTATGCTCCCCCCACACCCCAAATTTCACAGATGGCAAACTCAAACCTTCTGACTTGGCATGCAGACAAACCCAACATTGCATGGTACATTTCTTGATATAGCCTCTTTCTTTACATGTCTCTTTCCCTATACCTGTCAGTTCTTCAAGAAGAGGAACTCTGTTAATGTTCATGGCTCATTACTATAGCTTTGTATATTGCCTGACACACAATGGGTGTTTAATAACTGTCATGTGAGTAAACTAACATCATTCTTTCCCAAAAGGATAGAAGAGCTTCCCATATTCAGAAGAGTAAGATGCGAGATGCATTAGAACGAAGGCCAAATAGAGTTTAACATGCTGTAAACATCAAACCATCACATCCAGCGGAAAATACTAACCTTTAGCCTGCATGATGAAGGCCCTGCTGTGGTAAAAGTTAAATTACTGTGACAAAGGAGGACAGACTGATACAGCTTTGGAAAGGGAAGCCATCAATTCTGCTTCTGCCAGTTACCTTGGGAAATAACTCAAAAGCAAAAAGAACAAATAAAACCTTTGTGGGGAAATGTTACAACACTGTGTGCTGCTACACACTAGAAACTGCCTAAATATCCAGAAGAGGGGTTTGATTAAACATCATGGGATTAAAACCAGTTATGTTTCTGTGTAACTTTCAAGTTTTGTGTAGGAAAACATTCTACTAACTTGAGGATGTACCTAAAATACAATATTCACCAAAAAGGAAAAGGACACAGTTCTCATTGACCATAATTTCTCATGGTAACAATACAGAAGAAAAACAAAGCCAAAGAATTTATGGTTAATACGTAGTGTTTTCTTGTCCATGCATTCCTTCCCCTCCTCCTTCTCCTCTCATCCTCATCCCGACCTCCTCCATCATTATCTTCTTCTGATGTAGAGATCAAACTTGGGAATTTTTGCGAGGTCAGACAAGTACTGTGCACTGAGCTAACCTCCAATCTTCTCTCTGCATTTATTTTTTTCTACTAGATTACTTCCTTATCAAATTAAAAAAATATCATTTTTATGGGAATTTTCTTCAACTTCATTTTTTATGAGCTTGCAAAGAATAAAATTTCATTAGGGCATTTTTCAAGCAAACATTTTTTTTTGTTGTTTCTCGCTCCACTCCCATATAAACAAACAATTTTTAAGATTCTATTATTTAAGGACAGCCATCTAAAGCTGTAGAACAGTTAGATTAAATTTGGGAAACTTCAAAATGAGGACTCCAAGAGAGCAAGCTTGCTTCTTTTGTCATTGATTGTTGCTGCATCTGGATGTTCTGTCACACACAAACCCTTCTTTCATGTGCCAGGAGTCAGGGCAACGTGTGCACTAAACCAGGAGTACGTGCCATACCTCCTTTGCTATAGAGATTTGCATTGGTATAGATCTTGGTTTATTCATACAAATTTAAGGTCAATTTTATTATACTATGTATAATGTATTTCTGATACTGATTAAGGTATTGTGTTTGTTTAGCTCATTTAAAATGCAATGTATAATTAAGAAATATAGATTAATAGATAATCATCTATAATAGTCAAGCTTATAGTCATGTTTGGGTGACTGTCCAGGCAGCGAGATGTCTCTGCCAATTCTAGAGTTTTGGAAGTTTCACAATGCACTTCCTGTTTACTTAGGTAATATTATATCCTTCTAGAGTCTTTGATGGAGTTGAAGAATATATAGTTATAGTTTTCCTTAGTTATGATAAAAGATAAGGTAGATATAAATATTGTAACTGTAATTGTTGCTTGATACCTGTTTTGTTAGTATAATTTTACTCTGTTAAAGTTAAAACCTTCCTTTTTATTTAAACAGAAAAGAAGAGGTGATGAGGGATTCGCCTCTGTATGTTGTGAATACCATTGGTTAATAAGAAGCTGTTTCAGTCAGTGGCTTAACAGAATAGAGCTTGGCCGGAAAAACTAAACTGAATGCTAGAAAAAAGAAAGCAGCATCAGTGAGAAGCCATTGTAGTCCCACCAGAGACAGATGCTGGAACCAGGTAAACCATAGACTTGCAATACACAGATTGATAGAAATGGATTAAATTAAGATGTAAGAGTTAGCCAATAAGAAGTTAGAGTTAACGGGCCAAGCAGTAATTTAATTGATACAGCTTCTGTGTGATTATTTTGGGGCTGGGCAGCAGGGAACTAAAAAGCAGCCTCCTACAAAACTCCTTGGCCCTTCCTTTGTCCCACCGTGGTTTGTACTAAGATTGAAGACCTTTCGTTTTGATGGTGAGGTAAGTAAGTGGGCTCATGAACTTATCAAATGCATGTTTTATTGCTCATAGTTTCATGCTTGTCTTTTAAATTAGATTCAACATATCTTATCCTCCATTTTTATACTGCATCTCACCTAATCCTCACAAGGCTTTCAAGACTGTCTCATTGTCCATACTTGCCACATAAGAAAATAAAGATTCAGGGGTTGGAGAAATGGCTCAGTGGTTACAAGAGCTTGCTGTTCCTCCAAAGGACATGAGTTTAGATTCTAGCACCTACATCAGATGGCCCACAACTGCTCATAACTCCAGCCCCAAGGACTCTATGCCTTCTCCTAGACTGCATGGGTATCTTTACAAAGGTGGTATATACACATAGAAGAATACCCATACACATATATAAAAATAAAAGTACATATTAAAAAAGAACTGGGTGGTAGTGGCACATGCCTTTAATTGCCTGGTCTACAAAGCACATTTCAGAGAAGCCAGGGCTACACAAAGAAACCCTCTCTCAAGGTTCAGAGACGTGATTCTTCCTAGGTCAGTTCATTTTTTGGAGTCGTGTCTGGTCTTCCACAGTTAAGAATATTTTATAGGTTAGGCAGTTGTGGCGCATGCCTTTACTTCCAGCACTCGGGAAAGAGAGGCAAGAGGACACCTGTGAGTTCAAGGCCAGCCTGGTCTACAGAGAGAGTTCCAGGACAGGCTTCAAAACTACAGAGAAACCCTGTCTCTAAAAATAAAAAAAGAATAGTTAGCCTGGCGGTGGTGGCGCACACCTTTAATCCCAGCACTCGGGAGGCAGAGGCAGGCGGATCTCTGTGAGTTCAAGGCCAGCCTGGTCTACAGGAGCTAGTTCCAGGACAGGAACCAAAAGCTATGGAGAAACCCTGTCTTGAAAATCCAAAAAAAAAAAAAAAATAGTTTTAGTGACAGAGATAGACAATTTATCCCATTTAAAAAAATAAAAATACAACAAAAATAATATTGAAGAATGTTAAAGTATACCAGCCTGATGGCTCATCATAACTGTAGCTCCAGCACTGAGAAGATGAGGGCAGGAGGATAGAACAAGACCCTGTCTCTAAACAAACAAGCAAATTAATAAATAACAAATAATAAAGACCCAAAATAACAATAAAAACAGTTCTAGCTTTTCTGAGTTGTGTTAATCGTATGGTTTAGTAACTAGAAAAAAAGGCCGATTTCTAAGATTGTTTCTTATTAGTTTTTCATGTCTATTATACAAGTTATTTCTATATTGTTTGATTACTGCCCTATGCAGTAATGTCTGAACACATAATACGGCCTCACAGTGCCATGGATATCATAAGACTCTTTCAAATATGTTTAAATTTGCAGTAAAAATAAACAAATATAAACAAGTCACGCACAGCTAGAAAGTTATGATCTCACTCAGCCACAATCATTAGCATGTCTTGAAACCTAGCCAAGGTGCAGGGAGAGAAGGAGAGAGAGAGAGAGAGAGAGAGAGAGAGAGAGAGAGAGAGAGAGAGAGAGAGAGCGCGCTTTCTGGGGAGTCTTGGAATTGTAGTTCATTGATAGAATATGTCCATTAACAATTCCCAGAGTCACAGAAAATAAGCAAATAAATAAATCTACATACAATAAACATGGGATGGTTGCTTTAAATAAATAAATACATGCATGCATACATAGTACTAGCTGTGGTGGTTTAAGAATGCAATCCTAATCAGTGGTGCACAGATGACGCAAAAGGATCATGAGCTTGAGTCCAGTCTGGGCTGTATAGAAAGAGCCTTTTTCAAAATCCCCAACAAAATACATCAACTTTAAGAATAAATGTCTCTTGTGAGATGTGTGTACGCTGAAAAGATATTTAACCCTTTTTCTTTTTAAAACTGGCTAACTTGTTATTGTGAACTGACGTTGCTTTGGAAAGCCCCTACCTATGAAGATTCAGGACATATCACTTCCATCAATTATATGTTATTGGACATACAACTGATTGGCTGATTAAAACTTTGTGAGTGTGGAGAGTTGGAATACTGATGATCAAGAGACAAAATTGTCTTAGGCTATCCTACCAGGCATCAATACCCAAGCTCTATAATCAAATAGTATCTAAAACCAAAGCAGAACCAGAGTTGTTCACTCCCAGGTAACCTGCCCACCTGATGCTCCCATCAGCGTATTTGGGAAATTCATTGACTCATGACTGTTTTGTTCTTACTGTTGCTATAACCTGTTCCACAGTGGGGCACGCCATTCAGCATATTGAATCTGTGTTCTCAGGCCAGAGTCATTCACACGTGACTTAGAACCAGCTATCTCTCATTCGTGTTGACACAAGAGCTTGGTTTTACATTGACATGATATGAGTGGTCTTGGGGTTTACCACAGCCTCAGGATTGTCCTACAGGATAATGAAGCTGAAAACAAAATAGTTAACATTGTCTGTACAGACTGAGATTCTCAAAGTCAAACAAAGTAAATATGGTACCTCCCACTGTTCCCATTGTGTTTGGCATAGACCTCAGATAAGGGTTACCTCCCCCACATCCTTTGTTTGCCTGGCTTCCTCCCTGCTTCTTCTTCTCTCTCTTTTTTTCTGTCTTTTCCTTACTTCCTTCCTTTCTTTTTTTTCTGCCTTTCTGTCTGTCTTCCTTCCTCTTCACCCCTTCATTCTTTCTTTCTTTTTGAAGCTGTGTCTCATTATTTACTTAGCCTGAACTAACTTTGAACTCCCAATCTTCCAGCTCTCTGAGTTCTGGAACTATAGGCATGTGCCTCCACACCACCTAACAATATGGGTTTAGTTTAGATTTTACTTTTTCAAATTAGCCAGTCTCTGTTTGGTTGCTCATGACTATAATGCTAGTACTTGGGAAGCCGAGGCAGGAGGATTGTTGTCCAGAGTTTGAGGTTGGCTGGGCTACATAACACATTTGAGACTAGTCTGGACCATATCTCAAAAATCAAAACAAAACAAAATAAAACAAATACAGGTTAAGTTGCTAAATGTGTATACATATGCTTCATAACATAGTATCCAACCCAGTTGATGTTTCCTTATGATGGGCGCCGTTTTTTTTTCTTCCTTACTTAGCTACTGGAAAATTATAAATAAACACAGCATTGTGTGTTTGAAAAAAGGAAAGTTTGTCTTCAACAATATCAAAAGAAGCATGTCCTTCCACTCATCTCGGCATCCAGTTACCTGAGGGTGCCACAGTTGTAAATATTTACAAACTTTTCCACACACATAGATCTGTATATTG